ATGCCTGGTGAACCTCCGCTTGAGCGTCTGGCGAGGAATGCGAAAGTCGAAAACGAAGGTGAATGTCAATCAAATGAATCATCTCACTCGTGATTGTTTCATTCTGATCCCCATTGTGATATTAATGAACCACCAGCTCGCGCTTTCACTATCCCAAATCTCCCTTTTGCGGCACACATCAAACGGTTGGATAGACAAACTATCAGCTCTGCATCGTCTATTGTCACTTCGACAGTCTACTCACCCACCTCATCTCAGGAGCAGCTGGATAGACTAGGTGCAGAGCTCTCCATGTCCTTCATGTCGGTGTTGGACGAGATGTATCAAACGATGCGAGTACGGGCGCAACACGAGGCGGCTGCCTCAACAGAAGCCAAAACACCAGAATCTAAAGCCGGAGTGGTAACACCCAATTATAACGTCGTGATGACCCTCGAGCACATCTATCTCTTTCCCCGTAGCGCGGAGAAATTCATCCTCAGATCTTCACCAGAAGCACCAAACACAACTACTAACACCTCCACCACAGCTCTCCTCACCCTTCCTCAATTGGATGGAGTACCAGACGACGAGCCCTTCCTCAGTCTATCGATCAATTCACTCGGATTCGGCGGAATGTTGCTCGTAAAGAGCAACCAAGAGTTGGAGAGGGTGAAAAGCGTCGGTATTGGACGTATACTGAGCACAGTTGGGATGGAGCCGTTAAAGGAGGAGGATAATAAAGGGTGTGACGATGTCTTTGCTGACTTGGCATAGGGGGAAACAATGTCAAAAGAGGATACTCTTAGCTTACGTCTATACCCGATTCCTTTGTAAGAAGTTGAGTCCTAGTCAAATCGAGAGACTTAGTAAATCCTCAACAGCTCTAGCTCGCATCTCAGTCAATCAACTGTTTTGAATCTTAAATATCTGTCATAACTATAGTTTTTGCCAAAAATTTGAATGGTTGCATAGTGCAGTGGAACTGAAGCATACCGGCATTCTTTGGCCGGAGACCCGGGTTCGATTCCCGGTGCAACCTTTACCATTTTTGCTGATACTCCTGAGCAGCGGAGACGGACGAACGCGAGATTTTTTTTTTTTTTGGCTGGCGTTTGTAAGCAGCGAAGAAGAAATTGCAATAGCTAGTGATTCGATCCGAAGCGAGCTCGGGTATCACATAGTAAAAAGAAAGTATCTCAGCTGACCGATGTGCTCCTCCTATAGCTTTCTCGAGTAAACATTAAACTCAGCCTCTCGTGGGTTCGAACCACGGACTCCTTCTAGGTTCCAGAGTAACATGAAGGTGTGTTTCCTACTACACCAAGAGACTTTGTAATTGGGAAGGTGTCCACTATTGCCCACAAGTAGCCTACAATAGTTTTGAATGTCATACACAGGGACCGTGAAAAGCGAGGAGGACCGATAGAGCCTAGATTTGAGAAATCTCCCAGCACGGGAGGTCAAACGTACCTTAAGGGCATGGACAGCAATAGGTTAACCAAACGAATCGGACCTTCAATATCCCAACGTTTCATGCAAAGCGGTAATACGCACAAACTCGACATACGAGATGGCGAACGAAGAGTTCCCCCATGCCTACTCGCCTTTCATTATGTGGCTTTGAGCATTGTGCCAGACACTGCTGAGCACATAGGCTTCGGCAAGCAAGACTTCAATTTCGTGATCGCCCCAGGTCTGAGTTGGTAATGATTGTAGAAACATAATAATACCCTTGAACCGACATGAGAGGAGCCCATAGGTTACGGTTTGAAGGGTGCGTACCTGGAAGTCCATCGCTCGTAGTTTTTCGCTCCAAGTGGTGAGAAATGCACAACAAACATAGATATGAAATTCGGAAAATGCGTTTGAGCCCTCGGACTGAAGACGAAAATCAGTATGCCTGAGGGAAGTAGGATGATCGGGTCCCGTACTAGGTAGGTATCCCACATTCGAATCGTGTTGCGGACACTGAGCTCTCGCATCAACAGACAGTTCATCCATCGGAACGCGAATTGCATAAACTCGACGTTTTGTGATTGAAGATGCTTGGAGAGTGGGGCTACTGGGTTGTTAGAGTTACGAAATCACGTTTGGGATTCCGAAGACGTACGGTCTACTCGACCAACGAGACCGCTCAAGTAGCGAACACTTCGGTGTATTCCTGGCTGACCTGATATGTAGTTGTCTTGTATGCCATCGAGAAGTCGGGACAGACACCAAAAACAGTCGGCCTCGAGAGCGTTCAAGGCTGTAGGAGGTAGGAGTGAGGGGTCAAACAAGGAGGGCTCTGAGTCTACATGCGGATTAGATTGCTGATTGAAATCAAACAGAAACGTGGTGTGCGCACCGATGTATCCTCCAAGAAAAACTTGGAAGAAAGGGGTGACGAGATCGTTAATGCCCTGAACATACCCACTGGTAGGATGCCGGATAGCCCACACGTAGAGAATCCTTTCCAAGCTCTTCCAAATTTTAGATCAACCAACGCATTGTAGCGAAGGAATTACCCGTTGCGTACCCCGCTCCATCCAGAGGCGAACTCCTGGTCGTGTTCGAGGCACGTCGATTTCTATTTGATGCCATATTTGTTGGTCTAGACCCTCCGTTCCACGAGAGAAGGTTAACCGGACAAGATTTGCGTATTCCTCCCTTTTGCGCGATAGAACCGAGTTTCGCGTTGCTGCGGAGAGGGGAAGGTAACCCTATTGGGCGATAGTTGGCACCAGCTGAATACATCCATTATTTATAGTCGACATACCAAAAGTAACATCCACGAAATAGGTCTCAACTCCTCGGGAATTCCACTCCACGCAAGCTTCCTCAGGGCGGCAATGTCTACGTTCTCCGCGGTAAGGCAGTTAACAAACTTTTGTCTCTTCTGTGCCTTCATAGCATGTTGATGTTGCAATTCTGGATGACCTATCCCAGATGCAACTCTCTCCTCATATTCGGTGGACGACAGGGAATGAACAGCGTGAATCGGATCTATGTCAAAAAGAGGAATGATGAGCTTTATTAATGTTCATTCCATGTTTTCAAACGACCTACCGTTTACAATATCTTCCACGTCGTACTTGATAGCTTCCTTTCCTTCTCGTATCCGCCTATTTCGGCCAATGGTGATCTCCGTAATACTTCCTTCCCCGTCTATTTCTACTTCATGCTCCACTTCTGGATCGATTTGTGTCTCTCCTCTATCCCGGAGTCTGGACGATCGAGGACTGGTGACCATAGTCCACCCTGTGGACTTTCCGTTATTAATCGGCCCACCATACGACGAAGAGGGACTCGGTGCGGTTACGTGCGTATAGCTGAAAGCGATTGAGCCATCCGAACCGGTGGGCGCGTCCACGTTTGCTGAACTGTTACTTCGACTAGTAGAAGTCGTTGCCGTTCTGGGACTTTTTCCTGCTGACTTTGATGGGCTAACAGGAATAGGTTTAGCAGAAGTAGTACCCAGTGCGAATCCGGGCTTTGAAGTGGGAGGTGAACGGTATGCTGATTCGGAATCAGACGCGGAATCCCACGCATCGTCGGATGCCAACGTCCATTCTGATGCGGATTGTGCAATTTTTGATTTTTTGGAGGATTGAGGCGTCCGCGGGAGCGTCGCCATTCAGCGTTGGTCGGGTCCAAAAACCGCGTTCTGAAGCCACCTAGACTAAACTCGACCATGACTTGCCTTTTTCATTCGACCACGAATCGTAGCGAGAGCAGCAATCTGTCGTCTATACAACAATTTTACATCGTCTAGAACGCACGAACCGACCTGTTCGAACTCGAAAACTCTCATTCAGCGCGGCATTCAACAACAGGAGGCAACGTTGCATCGTTTTTACCTGGATAATCGTTTAATATGGTGCCCTATATCTTGATGCTATCTATATTCAAGCCTTTGTATGTTCTTTTGAACGATGCTCAGTATTGTATTGCCTCCCCTTATTGACAGAGCCACAGATTTGCTTCAATGAGAAGGGAGATGAATCATCACATGAATACCGAAGAATGTGATTGGGATACATGCTGCAGGGCCCAGCAGACTATCACGCATGGGACCTTCTCTAAAGAGAGATTCATTAGGAAGAGGGTCACTGATTTGCATAGAGGGTATCAAGGTGGAAAGACGCTGGCGAATCAAGATCCCCTCACCTCGTTGTCCCCAGCACCGTCAGGCTCTATGGAGCCCGCGAGCCTCAAAGGGGCCGCTCTCCGTCCATCCTCGCTTTACCACGGCTTGAACCACTACAACGCTCGAGTTCAAGAATGTCAACTTGCCATTACTTCAATACCCCGCAGGGCTGTAGGCGCAAGCCATGTCGATTTCTACACCAGAGCCCCGAGAATGCTGCTGACACCCTCGATCAATCTGCGAGGGCCTCAGCATCCAAGCCGCGCAAGTTTCAGCCCAGATTCAAGAATGAAACCCCCAAGAACGTGTGCAAATTTTATTACAACACTGGTAGCTGCGATCGAGATCGTTGTACCTATCGTCACACCGAGCCCGCTAACTCCCGGTTCGCCCAACATACAGAGTCCAATGGTGGTCCTTCAGAAATTCGCCGTGGAGATGACATGGCTATATTCCTTAGGCCTGCTGAATTTTCTGCTGTCACCCCTAGTGACGCCCTTCACCAACTCTCCGTTCTCTTCGCCCCTACGACTAAATTCACCAAACCTCTCCAAATCAAGAAGGTAGTGAATCTTTTGACAAACGCTGGTTTAAGGGATGGTACCTGGGTCCGTCACAACAGCAGAGACAAGAGTTTGAGCTGATGTTTATGTTCAGGACGAAAAGGATGCGCAGAGGTTTCTGGAAAGAGTAACTGAGGTCGATATCGGGACTATTCGTGTGTGCTATACTGATCCTTTCAATAGAATTCGGGGCTTTCGACGATCGAGAAGATTCTCACTTTTGATCCTGTGGTAGTTCAAGTCAATGCCAGTCGTGACGCAATATCATTCGCGTCTGCTTACGTTCCATGTCTTGCAGTAAGCAATCGCGACTCCTACCTTCTATTCACTCACCGTTGCTCCTTCGCAGTACTTCGTTTCCGGTTTCGTCCTTGATAGCACCCTTGGGATACGTGTCAAGTAAGTAGTCGATCCAACCCAGGGCCCGAACTAAGACTCAGGAAGCGCGTTATATGGGCTCATACATAGTCATTTTGACCGTATATCAACGGTCATCATGACTTGCATGACTGATATTGTTACCCGAAAGTCGTTCGAAAGCAAGCCCTTTGGCATTGGCTGTGGAACTCAGATCTTCTCGGCCCTGATCCAAGTGTTAGTCGAGTATGTGTTTTCACTTTATCATTGTCACGACACTTACTGGTGGCCAGATACATAAATCGTTTTAAAGGGGCCTTCCGGGATCATGAGCTGTTACTGCCACTCACAGAATCTCTTTCCTCGTGGGTTACCCTATGGAAGACTGGAAACTTCATCGACCGAGACATACCCGACGCGCATACCAAGAGAGTGACGCTGGATAAACTAGATAAGGATTTACAGCGCCTACGCTCAATGGCTATCCGAGAAAGCGCAGCAATCACTCGCAAGGCAGGGTTATCCGAGTTAGCCAGTACAAGGCGCCCACATTCCACGTCTTTTATTGGGCCTCTAACTATTCACTATGACCCAGCTGGAAACCTCCGTCCCGATGGTCCCCGTCACGACAACGATTTTGAAGACATTAGAATGATTTTCATTCATCCTACTGAAGCAGAGATGACCTCCAAAATATCTCCTTTCCTCCCTGCCAATATCCCTGGTGCACCCCATCATCTCCCCTCAGAGTCCATGGAACGCCTGTTGGACATACAATTCCGGCTTCTCCGAGAGGAGCTCATGTACGTCTACTCTTCCACTTCCTCCCTAGGCATGCTGATATAGCCGTTGTTCTTACCATTCTTGCAGTGCTCCTTTACGACTCACAATTCAGATGATCACCAGCGACCTGCACTCTGCATCCGGAAAAACGCCTCTTCACTCGTTGATGGCAAAGAGGGGAGGACGATATATTGCAGAGACTGGGCATGATTCTGTAATGGCGAGCGTATACACTTCTGCGAACCCGATGTCGATCACCACCGACAAACGTGGGATGGCAGTTGAAATATCGTTCGACGCGCCCCCCGGGCAAGCTAGGAGTCGTTCGGTATCCCAAAGAGCCGAGTATTGGAAGGCGATCAGCCGCAAGAGGTTAATCCAAGGTGGTCTCGTCGGCATTGTATGGGCTACGCAGGAAAGCACACAAATCTTCTTCGGTCTTATCAGCAGCAGCGTAGAAGATCTTGAACGAGCAGCCAGGAAGAGTCCAGAAATCCT